TTTTCAAAAAGCAAAAAATAACCTTAAATGTGGTGCGCATGGAGATTGTTGGGAAGAAGTGAAATACAAATGAAATAGATGCGCACCACATTTAGGGTTATTTTTTGCTTTTTGAAAACGTGGTTTTTAGATTAATTTTTTAATCTACTATAATTATTTTTGTATACTGGATCCCAACACTAAGCTTTTGCACGAACTTACGCGGTTGCGTCGCTACTTGGAAACAGTGCTGAATGAATCAAGAACAGAATGGCCCCATGTAATGAAGTATGCTCCCCAAAGAATATGCCAGGGTTTCCCCGCTTTCCACAAATTAAAGCCCAGTCATTGAATATAAATACAAGTACATGCACTACTTCATAACCTCCTACTCATTTAATTTTTGCCCATTTAAAAAAAATGACGCCGTTCCTCGTCTATTTGGAACAAGACTGTCAAAAAGAACCCTGGTTTTTTTCTGAATCATCCCACTCACTTCAATTAGTTTACCACTGTTTTGCTCAGAGTACAGTACTGCACCACGAGCACGTTTTAGGAGCCTTTCATAAAGGCTCTTCTTTGCTTCATTCAAAAGTGCAATATTCTAAAAGATACACATTTGAACTTTTCAGAATGATAAACCTTAGTCAATTTTGAAGAAACGAATGTATATAAACGCGTGCGTTACTTTTGGAGCAACACAGTTCTATGTCCATAACCCAACAAGGAAACCACAGAAGTGAAAATTTCTATTTTAGGGAAGTAAAAATAACTGATTTAAATTGCAAATGGCTAACAAAAGACGATAATTCAAAATTAGCTGCCTAAATAGAAAATCTCGGCAATCTTGGTCAATCTGCACAGTATTCTAATTGTTTTTATGCTACCCGAGTAATTCAATTCAAAGTGACACGCATTTTATTGAAAGCCAGTATTTCCGTAGACCACGAGTTGAAGTTTATATATATATATATATATATATATATATATATATAGCGAATATATTGAGTATATTTTTTAACCGGATATTTTTATTTACCTCGGTCTACGGACAACAATATATATCAGTTTTTCTTCCTGCTGCTCACAAAAAAAGAAAGAAATGCGAGGTTTCGCTCGTTTCTGATAATTCCAGCATTTTTACGAAATATAGTTTTAAAGGAGCCCGGCCAAGAAAAATATCGCGGGGAAGGTAAAATGGACGGTGCCTTCTGCTAGCTGGCGCCTATACAAAATGTCTGTCGAGTAGACCTATTATTCTTAGAAACCTTTAGTTCCTCGCCTAGGTCACCTCCAAGCTCTGACATGTTCTAGCGCCGACTTCCAAGAAACGACAGTCCCCACAGACATGGAAGACCTCGGCAAGAATCCACCAAGGTTACGATATGACATCCGGATGAAATTCCACCGGAGACGGAAATTGGGATGCCGTCGAATGCAGAATCGGTGGTCCATGTCGAGATGAACGCATCACAGCATTACGATGGAAATTAGCAGAAACAAAGTTTTCTCATATCTTCTACGAAAGATGCAACCCTCGAAAACGCACACCCTTAAAAAAACCACAATTAATTTGTTTTAGCTAGATACTGTATAATGATCCAGAAAATGCGTGCCTATATCCGAATAAAATCCTCCTTTCGCCGAAGTCAAATATTTTTTTTCGTTTACAAAAAAGAAATATCGCCTGACGGATCCATCGCACTCTCCTTGAAGAGATCAATTTCGCACTGTATTTTTCTCTAATCGTTTTAGAATTAAGATTACGAAGTGTCTTTGTCAATGATGATAGAAGTACACGGAGATGAACGTGTTCTCAAATAAAAAAAATTCTTTGCTTACTGTAAGGATGCTCAGTAAACACCGAAGGGACCGCCGAGGCTCACAATTTCATCGACTACTGTATAAAGTACAGTGACACTTCTGACACCTAGAAGTGTGTGGCAAAAACTGTAGGAAAGGCTTGTTTTTCAAGCGTCATCTAACGTTTTACAGCTTTTCGAAACAGGTGTGAAGGAGTGGTCGAGCGTTCGGCCGAACGTTTGCGAGGATTTATGAACCCCTCACGAAGAGAAATTTCAGCGAAAATGCATATAACGACCAGTCGGAGTTTTCTGACATCTGTGGGGTTTCCAATATTAATTTCATTTTATAGTTAAATTTTTCATACTAGGTGTCGCACAACACATGCGGTAACCTTTACCGCAAATCCGAGGAGGATGAAGATGTGCAAGAATAAGAACTTTCGAATGAATCCTTTTACTGGCATATACTGGCAAAATAGTGTACTCAAAATCAAGAAGATGCTTACGTTTTATAGACAGGGTTCTTAAAGATGAAGCGTCCTTCTCTGAATTGGGAAGCACAATCTCATACTAATTGACAACATTTAAAAAATTTTAATTGATAAGAATCTGTCGATTTTCAGCTGCAGCAACGCGTTATTTTTCGTTTTCCTCTGATTGCCATTATTCTAAAATTGCGGTGTTTTTGAATTTAGACGATAATCTTCGACACGTAAGAAACCGTTCTCTTCAAATCTGAGAATAATGATAAATAATAAGACACACGGTATTTTGAGCCAAGGGAAATGAGCCAAAGGAAATACTTGAGCCAAGGGAAATGAGTTCAACTGTGAGCACGAAGTATGCCCGTGTTCGAAGTTTGACATTGGTATGAGTACCAATAAAAATCGCATAACATACTGCCTGGAAAGCGATGGCTTGAATCACGCAACTTTTATGCATGAAGAAATTTTCACTAGAAAATGAAAAAATAATATTCAACAGAATAACTCTGCTTATTCAATTTTGAATATCGCTGGTTTAGAAAGCTTTAATCTACTTACTTTATGCAAATCATGTCTTAGTTTGTTAATTAAATTTCTTGTTCTTCATAAAACAATGAAAATGGGATTTAAAATAATACGTAAGCGCAGCAATGCGTGTAGTTTCTTCCCAGATTTCTTATCGCCATTGAAGCGTATATTGATCTGGCAAGTTATGCAGGATCATCGGAAGCATAGAAAATAAATTATACTTTACTATGTACAATAGTTGATGATGGACTTACGACGACAAGATCTCCTTGAACTTGGATACGGTGACGCAATGAGGAATGTGTCACTTTTCGATTACTGTTCTTATTGACAACTCTTCGTTTATCAATCCTTCGAATAGACTACTGAATTCTTCACGCCTTTCCCTAAGATGTCTCCCTTTTGCTTAGGACACGCAAGAGGTTTTCTCGGAACCACTCAACCAATTCAAAGATACGAACCAGTTTTTTTATTATTAATGGGTCACGTCTGATGCATAGCTTCAAAAGCATCACCATGAGCGCATGGGTCATTAAAAGCCTCACTTGGCCTCCGCGAGGCCAGCGAGTTCAAGAAGAAATGAAGTCAGGCATGTCCCCCTCATTTACACGGAGTCTTCATGGATTACTTTTATAAAGTTCCGAGGACGTCCAGATAGTGTGCTTCTAGCCGGTCACTAACTCAGATCAGCTCCTTGTGTTTATACATCCATATACGAGGATCCTACAACATTTCAAGCATCAGTATCTCCACGCGACAGGCAACGAACAGCTGGTGTTAGTTCTCATTTGACTCAGAGGCTTCGGAAAATAAATTCCAATCTCGTGTCATCCGACAGAAAATTTCAAAAAATATTTCGAAACGAAAAAGTATCCCCTCAGTTTCGTTCGTGCTATGAATCAAGTGATCTCAATAGATTCATGCGGTCAGTGGTTCCAAGCGAACAGAAGTTGCTTGTACCAGCATTATCTTGATGAGACTCGCTGAACGGCTGTAATCAAACTTTAGCTCAATCATTTGGACGATTTAGAAAAGTCGATGATTGTTCACGAAAAAAGCAGAAGTATACGAGCCGATTAAACCCGCACTACACCCACAAAAGAGAAAATTTTTCATGAGTTATTAATCTGTATACCCATGGTCCGAAGGTTTAAGAAGCGAAAAAATCTGGAATATCAAGCAGAAATGTGAAGTGCTCGTGGGAAATGAAATGCAGAATTGTCTGCCTTATTTGAGAGTGCGACATGAGTTCGATGATTGTGGGATGAAATCATGAAAGACACTGAAAGAATTTTCTCTCTTTAAATCAGAGGTGACACCGAATAAAAATTATCGCTGTATGCGGAGAATAAATTATTTCCATCTCTAGTTTTTTTTTTATGCAAGCCGGGCCATGAATCACGCAGCAAATTTCCCCGGGGAATACAGAATTTTATTTTATTTTTTCACCTTTTTCTTCCATTGCATTCAAAAATACGTGTTTCATAGCAAGGAGAGGGAAATGTTTCCAAATTACATTTTTTGAGTGATGAAAAGTTTAATTAAATCCGAAAAATACAGGTTTATATCTGCAGGTTGGAGAAGATTATGAAATCGCGTTGCGTCCTGCATGCAGTATCTTTAAATTACGAAAAACAAAATCAAAAAATATATATACTGTAATGCAATTGACTGCAAAGAACACGATTCACTTAGCAGCAAAAAAGGGAATGTTGCCCGAGCGAATGTAATATACGAGGCAGTGCTTGAGTAGAACTAGAAAATAAATTTATTCGTAATCAAAGAATTCCATTAATTTTATTTACACACCATCACTTCAACTAACAAAATTATCTCCTTCGACGTTTCCAAGATTTAAAATCCTAAGAACTGAAAATAAAGCAATAAGAAAATCTTTTAAATTTGTTTTGGACGATTTTTATCTGCAAGTACTGAAATGCTGAGCAGAAGGAGTCATGGACTTCGCATGTAAATGAAAAAAAACTTCATAATATTTGTACCATAAAATAGAAGATCAAATATCAAGTGTACAGGAAGACTTCAAATATCAAACTACGAGACACACTCCGGTTCTCTGAACCACGAAGCAATGGTTTCTTGATGATATTTTTGAGTCAACTTTCAATTTTTTTGCAAGTCTGCAGGACGAAGCATGTACCAAAAGGTGAGACTAGTCTTGCTACTGCTAGCATTCGTAGTTTTCGCAGACCAAGCATTTGGTCAATCACGAGTGATGCGCACTCGCGCAGGAATCGGCAGGCGATTCGGGTTCGCGTGTTGCGCGAGCGGCCAGGAAACCCGTCCGCGCGTGGCGCGTCAAGCTACTGATGGAGTCGGTCCCTGCTGCTCGACCGTTAGAAGACTCATGAATGACTTGAGAAGACAACAAGGCCTGAGTGAACTTCCAGAGCTATCTAACGCAGCGAACAGCGATATTCGAAGGAATTCCAACATCGCGGGAAACCGGAACAGGAATGAGAGGAGACGGATGAACCTGCGCACCGAGTCTCGACCCACTATTGAGCGGAACAACAGGAATCGAGCCGGGAATCAGCCTTCAAGATCTGCGAGTCCCAATTACAGTTTTATCCATTTCAGCATGGATTTCGGAAAGAAGAACTGAGCCGCTATCGTACTTACCATACATACTCTTCGAACAAATGAGGTATTACATGAAGAATCGCCTTTTCTCATGCACCTCGCTCCCCAGTGTGAGCTAATGTTCCCTGATTTTTGGGAAGACATCTGTGATCCAAGGGCACCAAAAGAATATTAATTAAACTAATAAGAAAATATGACATCCAAATAGTTCACCTGCGATTAATGTCAAGAATGGTATGTGCGAGTAATTACGATATTTTGCATGTCGCTGTAAATTTTCATGCAAATTTTTTACTTGTGATCGGGGAAGAAGTATTGCTCACATTCAAATTTAAGGTCTATGATACAGTGTCATGGTGGCGAGCTCTTGTTATTAGTCCAATTTTTCGAAGACTAAAATTTTTCACGTTTTGTGACGTTCAATCGAAGACAAATCGTTCAATTGTAGAAAATGAGAACAGAAAATATGTTTTGCGAGGATTGTTCACTGCGTTCTTCAAGCTTGCAGCAATGACGAAATATCCGAACAATTGAAGCCGTGCGGAAATGGATGTGAGTTAGGTAGTCATGATGCACTTGCGAACTTCCTGAGAACGTTTTCTGTACCATTTTGTACTTTTTACGCAGTTCATATCCAGCTCCGGTTGAATTATAAAAAACGAAGTTTGAAGCATTTTCCCCCTCATTTATTCTTTTCCTTTTTCTGAACGTATAGTATACTGTACTTACAAAATTTTGCTATTTTCTTGATCAGCATGTAAAAGAGATTGGCAGAACAATGAAAACATGCTGCAACAATGATACTGAATTGGCACATCCCGAAAATTATTCGTGATCCATAATAAAGCGAATCAAGGTGCGAGCAGGTCTTCCGGTGAATCCCTTTGTAATGTAAGGTGCATCCGCCGAAGACTTCACCCGCATGACGTTTGCGATATCCATATGAATCCAAGAAACCGGAACAGGAATGAGAGGAGACGGATGAACCTGCGCACCGAGTCTCGACCCACTATTGAGCGGAACAACAGGAATCGAGCCGGGAATCAGCCTTCAAGATCTGCGAGTCCCAATTACAGTTTTATCCATTTCAGCATGGATTTCGGAAAGAAGAACTGAGCCGCTATCGTACTTACCATACATACTCTTCGAACAAATGAGGTATTACATGAAGAATCGCCTTTTCTCATGCTCCTCGCTCCCCAGTGTGAGCTAATGTTCCCTGATTTTTGGGAAGAAATCTGTGATCCAAGGGCACCTAAAGAATATTAATTAAACTAAGAAAATATGACATCCAAATAGTTTACCTGCGATTAATGCCAAGAATGGTATGTGCGAGTAATTACGATATTTTGCATGCCGCTGTAATTTTTCATGCATATTTTTTACTTGTGATCGGGGAAGAAGTATTGCTCACATTCAAATTTAAGGTCTATGATGCAGTGTCATGGTGGCGAGCTCTTGTTATTAGTCCAATTTTTCGAAGACTAAAATTTTTCACGTTTTGTGACGTTCAATCGAAGACAAATCGTTCAATTGTAGAAAATGAGAACAGAAAATATGTTTTGCGAGGATTGTTCACTTGGTGGTTCTTCAAGCTTGCAGCAATGCCGAAATTTCCGACCAATTGAAGCCGTGCGGGAACGGATGTGAGCTAGGAAGTCATGATGCACTTGCGAACTTCCTGAGAACGTTTTCTGTACCATTTTGTACTTTTTACGCAGTTCATATCCAGCTCCGGTTGGATTATAAAAAACGAAGTTTGAAACAATTTTCCCCCTCATTTATTATGTTCCTTTTTCTGAACGTATAGTATACTTACAAAATTTGGCTATTTTCTTGATCAGCATGTAAAAGAGATTGGCCGAACAATGAAAACATGCTGCAACAATGATACTGAATTGGCACATCCCGAACATTATTCGTGATCCATAATAAAGCGAATCAAGGTGCGAGCAGGTCTTCCGGTGAATCCCTTTGTAATGTAAGGTGCATCCGCCGAAGACTTCACCCGCATGACGTTTGCGATATCCATATGAATCCAAGAGGTATTCTTTGGAACAAATTCCTAAAGGAAACACGTAAAATGTTAAAAACTCATAAATCGGAGGATTAATCTCAAGTCTCAGGAAAGAATTTCATGAAGTAATTTGGGATCAGAGAAAAGAGCTAGGTTTTTGTACAATGTTTCAGGCTTATGCTAAACATTGAATCATATCAATCAATTATGTGACAGCACCACACGCATGCATCAGACTTCTATAAGTCATAAGTGCTTTTTTTTATTTCCGAGCCTGAATTTTATCTTCATTATCCAGACAAGAGAAAAATCACCCTCAAGAAAGCTGCAGCAATATTGGCCTTTCCACCAGCGCTCGAATTTTCAGCATTCCTCAAATCAGCCAAATGCCCACCTGAAAGAAAATGCATAGATCCTGTACTAATTTTTTCAACACCACCAGCTTCAACATTATGTATGAATATAGATAAAATCATCATTGATTTCATTTTGGTTCCACAATGTCGATAACACGAACCAATTTCGTGATTTTCTTTTACGAAAATCACCTGAGCTTGAATCGTGAAGTCGTTATCGCTTGATCCGAACCGGTTTTTATCCTCGGAAGTATGCATCATATTCCAATGTCAGCTAGAAGGAAACAACTCCTGAACCGAATTTGCTGACTCTCGGGAACCTCATTTTCTCAAGTACCCAGACTTTTCCCAAGTTTTCTTCTGAAAACATCTCATTCCTCTCGTAATTATAGTCCAGTGCTGTCCAATATCCGGCCCGCATATAAATTTAATGCACCCTGCATTTCCTGTTCTATAATTTTCCACACTATTGAAAAATTTTATACAGTTTGACAGATGCATTCGAGATTTTAAACTGATGCTCAACCATTCAAAAATTAAATAAGGCAATACTTATGATTCAATGGAGATAACTGAATTAAATTTGAAAATTTCCTTCAAAAGGGGAAAGTTCGGAGCTTTGAAAATTATTGTCTATTTATTGTGGCCCTCAAATCCTCAATGACTCTGCATCTCTTCGATGGGGATTTTGGACATAGAGCACACAGCATATCAATGTGGCCCTTGGCCACAACTGAGTTGGGCAGCACTGTTCTGATGGTACAAATTTCATTTATATAAAGAATCTGCACATTCGTTCCCTTCTGTCCCCTACATTCCACTATGCAATCCAAAATTACATAGCACTCTCTGAGAAGGCACAGCACCTCTAAATTTCGGAATCTCGCGTATCACTTAAACCTATCACGTTCACTTGTAATCGGAGAAGCAGTACATTTAATTAAGAAACATTAATTAAGATTATTTAATTAATAATTATTATTATTTAATCAATTATTTAATTAAGAAACTGCGCCAGTGAAATCTGACAATCGGAAGACTAATTTGCCAGGCGGAAATGCGTTACAGATGAATAGGTGAAGGAAGCCACTGTAAACGCGAAGTACAATGAAATACAATAAAAGCGATCTTTCGCAGTTGGACTCACCCGCGACATCATTTCTGTAGAAATCCCATAGTGGCATCCTCCACACTCTGTCTCCCGTCGAAATACTCGCGCGCAGCATTGCATTCCACTCTCTGGTGTGGGTAGCAAACGTTCCAGTTGCAGACGAAGCAAGTGCTTTTACGATACCACCTGTGGAAATGATTTTGCATCCGTGGGGAGAAAGAGACAAGTTTGAGAAATTATATGTGAATCGTTGGCATATAACAGGTTGAAGTCGCGCAGTTGATGCGCTGAGATCTGTAGGTGTGAGACCTAAAACCCTTGCTTTGCGCAACCTGTATAAAAGCGTGCGCCAAAACTGACTTGGGCATCATTGCTATTTTTCTTGAGAAGACGCCGGGACAAGAAAAACTGAATGAACGTAACTCATTTGCTACGATCCAAAAATTGAGAGCATTCATTTTCTTTTCTGAAGCTAAATCGAAACCCTCCATTACACGGAGCTCACCTAATTCAGGAAGTCTAGATATTAAGTGGAATTCGCGACGACTACGAACATTTCTAAAAGTATTTAGTACCTTTAAATCCCATCATAAGAGACACGTGTGAAAAACATAGAAGAACAAGAAAGAACACGACCACGAGTCGGCACTACCGATTCCGCTCACCAGTGAGTGTCGCAAGGTCGACCAAGACCTTGGGGTTGAACTTCCCAGCGTACACCAAAGCGTCGGCAAGAACGAGCCTTCCTTCTGCATCCGTATTTGTGATTTCAATGGTCTGACCATCCTTGGCCGTGACAACGTCCATGACTTTGGTAGCTGTCCCACCAATCATATTCTCGGTCAGTGGGACGAGACCAACTACGTTGACGCGAAGCTTCAGTTCGGCGATGGCTTTGATGGTTCCAATAACCACTGCACCGCCGGCCATGTCGCCGCGCATCCACATCATGCTTTCGCTCGGTATCTTCAGTGACACGCCGCCAGAATCGTAGGTTATGCCTTTACCTGTGAAACAAATGTATCTTTAAATCGGAAAAACCGTCGAATCCATTCTGAACTAGTATATTAAACCAAAATATTGTAATCATTTGGTAAATCTCGGCTTTTTTTCGTACATTTCAAACCACAGTGTATATATATATATACGAATGAGACGCACTGCAATTTTCTCAATACAGTAATTTACGCATTTCCTGAGCGTTTGAACCATTCTAATAAAATACGTAAGTTGAAGTTCAACATCGGGTGAGCTAAAAAATTTTCAATTTCCAACTGATTTTATAGGGGCATATGTATGACCATCACCGTTTTTTTAGTCAAGAATACTTTCGTGAGAATTTTATAAAATGATTTTTTCAACATTTCTGTGTTTCAATACAGTATTTGAATTAACTTTTATTTTGTTTATTTTCGCTGCTTAATCTGTCCCTTAAAATGTAAAAAACCTTCATTTTTGCACACAACGTGAACTTTCTTTTTGACGGAATAGGAGATGTATTCGTCCCCGATTAGTGTATTTTTTTCAACCGCATCCAATCTCACATGTGTAAGCAAATAACCGACGAATTTTGCAAGTGCAATTTAATGCAATGTATTTATTCAGCTTGTGCAGGACTAAAAATCCGTAGCAATATTAAGTTCAAAGACTCAAATACCAAGTGTCCTTGCAAAAAATGTGCACCCCCAATTGTTTAGTTAAAAATCTGACAAAAATGTATTCCTGAAAAATGCACTGAACTCCGTTTTTAGAGGATTTTTTGACATTTCAGGAATGAGAGCAGTGGACGTCATTAATTCATACTCGAATGAAATATGGATTCTTCAATTGAATTGTATCTTCCTTTTTATGTCTTCAACTGACGTATTATACAAGTATAGCTCGAGACAGGGAATTCCAGTTTGTTGTGTTGTTAGCTATATACAAGATTTAACACTACTGAATTGAACTTTCATTTGAGGTAGCATTTATATTTTTTATGCTGTCGCTCTTAAATTCGTAAAATTTTCACCAACTTTATTCAACTGCATGAGGTGCATTGAAATTTCAGAAAATTATTTTGAAAAATCTTGACTTAAAATGCACGCGAAGATGACGCTAACCCCTATTTTCGGTTTTAGTTTCTGAGGGGGTGCGCTTATGGTACTGTATTGTATGCCTCAGCAGCGACTAGGCCCCGGTTCCATAATTGTTCTTCTTGCCTGCAATTCGATCACGCATATCCACGTTGGAAACAAAAAGTACTGTACTTGAGTTTTAGAGCCTCGTACGTCTTTTATGCTGTCGAACGTTTAAAAAAAACCTTCGGGGCTTCGTGACCGTTTTTGTGCTCGAGGACTACGACAAGAACATTTTTTATTTTTGCGGTCCAGCGGAAATTTCCTGCCGACTGTGCGCCTTTCCGCCGTTCACAGGTCTGAGGATGCAAAAGCTGTCTGGAATGTTCCAAACATTGCAGACACGGACTTTATCGCTTAATTGATTTTCACTCGGACGACCATGCATTTCTACCAACTATAGTACCGGTCTGCAGCTTGAAGAAAAGCTGTTGCATTCGGATATAAAATTCCAGAAGAGCCTCCGAAAATTAATTTGAATTCAGCCTTCCCGCGCATCGGTAGAATGAAAAGACCGCCAATCGAAAATATTGCGGATGCGCGTGTTTTCTGTTTTTCTGTAAGGAAAGTCGACTCACGCATCAAGATTTAAAGGCGACACTTCTGGTTTTGCAGTTTTGGATTTCTTGAACACGTCGAAAACCCACGTCACCAGATAAATACTCTCTGCAGCTGCTTCGGGATCGCCCATGGTATCCAAGTCGATATGGCTGAAAGATCGGCTTCCAGCATCCCATAACGACTTGAAAGCATCTTTAGGGTGAAGAAAACCCACGTCACCAGATAAATACTCTCTGCAGCTGCTTCGGGATCGCCCATGGTATCCAAGTCAATATGGCTGAAAGATCGGCTTCCAGCATCCCATAACGACTTGAAAGCATCTTTAGGGTGAGAGAAAATGCGTCCATGAATTTCGCATTAATTTTTGAACCTGCGCCATGAGAAGAGTAAATTGAGAAGTTCCCTATGACCACTTCTCAAAAAGATGAGGTTATTGAGAGAAGAGGCAATTTCTTGGACAGTATTCCTTACAATGGTGACATATTTTTCGAATTTTTTGAAAGCCAAATACGAAGAACCTCGCGCAAGCCAAGTGTCAAATGCTTCGTGAACACATATCAAACTCTCGAAATTTGACTATTGATCATGTTATAAGCGTTTCGTAGTAATTTTTTTAGTCATACAGGAAGTACACGATTTATTACTTTCGGTTAAATTTGCATTCCTTCGATTTTCAATAATCAGAACTTCCGAAAATTTTGGCAAAGCATTCCCACGAGATTCTTTTTCTTGGACGTAAATTATCTTGCTGATGGTCAGGCATGAATTCAGAAGCGTGCTCAATCCTCTCATATTTCCATTTCACAAGGGTACCTAAATCTAATTCGATAAGGACATTCTGTTTATCAACACGACGACCCTCGGTCTCAACCACTACGGCTAAGAATTTCAAATGCATAGAAATTCCTCATGAGCTTTAGTACGGGGTGTGATGAGTCAATGCTCATCTTTTAAAATACTGTGTATGGAATTGAACTTACTTGCGATTAATTTTCGAACTGCTTCTCTCTGAGGATCTATCTGCTCTTCTTCATCGATTGTTCGGTTTTGTTCGCCTATATTCGCCAAAACTATCGCATCATATCCCTCCAGAAAATTCCACAACACCCGCGTACCACCCGATTTGATTGTGGTTGCTTGTGAACTATTGAACAAGAACCTCGCGCAAGCCAAGTGTCAAATGCTTCGTGAACACATATCAAACTCTCGAAATTTGACTAAACTAGTACAATATTCGCAAAGCATCATTAAAAAAATCAGTATGTCCTTCATGTGCTAAATATACTTTCGGTTAAATTTGCATTCCTTCGATTTTCAATAATCAGAACTTCCGAAAATTTTGGCAAAACATTCCCACGAGATTCTTTTTCATGGACGTAAATTATCTTGCTGATGGTCTGGCATGAATTCGGAAGCATGCTCAATCATCTCATGTTTCCATTTCACCAGGGTACCTAAATCTAATTCGATAAGGACATTCTGTTTATCACCACGACGACCCTAGCTCTGATCGAACCACTACGGCTAACAATTTAAAATACATAGAAATTCCTCATGAGCTTTAATACGGGGTGTGATGAGTCAAAACTCATCTTTTAAAATACTGTGTATGGAATTGAACTTACTTGCGATTAATTTTCGAACAGCTTCTCTCTGAGGATCTATCTGCTCCTCTTCATCGATTGTTCGGTTTTGTTCGCCTATATTCGCCAAAACTATCGCATCATATCCCTCCAGAAAATTCCACAACACCCGCGTACCACCAAATTTGATTGTGGTTGCTTGTGCGCTATTTAAGAAAAATATCCATGAAGTAATGCAAGAAACCTTCCACCAAGATGGAAAAAAATGGCGTAAACTCACAGGTGCAAATACTGCGATATTTTCGACTCCTTCTCAACATCCAAAAGCGATGCTGCTTGGGTTAAAGTGAAGTTGCCGCCCGACGAATAGAACCCAAGAATAGCTCCACGCAGGATTAATTCATTGCTTCTATACGCAGTAAAAAAAAATGCGTGGGACTATTTTAATGGTGATGAACGCAAGTTGCATTTGGAGTCAGCAGATAGCGCATTTCAAGTGATAAGGTTAGACTTTGTTGTTTTCCAACCCCGAAAACACTGATTTGAAGTTAAAACATTGATTTACTGTGCAAGAAGGCATGCTAATTCGGTTTAACCTAAAACCTCCGTTGCATTGCAAACCGGATCAGGATATAAGTACAGTACTGTACTGTATATGGGAAAGACGAAATTCACAGTTATAAGCAAACCAAGACTGCGAGTACTATATAGTCAGTACTCACTATACTCACCCATCCGTGGATGAAGCGTCATCATTGCGATAGGAACTCTTCGCGGCATCTTCAGTGAAGTCAGACTTACTCGGTGCCGAACACGATTTACAAGTAACAGAATTAATTAAACCAAAGCAGAGCAAAGCAATCACAGATGGACCCATATCGTTGTGACAAAACGGGCCTTTAAAAAAGCATAGAGGACTTTTCAACAAGCACGTAACAGCGACACAAACCGTTATCAAAGAACACTCAGGGAAGACTACAGTCGAAGAGGCCAGTGGCCTTTTATGCCGTTCATCGGTCAAATATTCATGAGCTCCATGTTAAGCGTTCTACAAAAATCTCATGAATTATGCGCTCTTGGAAAATAATGCAGACAAAAGATCCGCTCATCCGAGATCTTGTCCGAGGGATTCGGGAATTTTTCAAATGATGATTCGTAAGACCTAATTTTTGGGGCACAGTTTCGATTCCGGCCAAGAAATATTCAGTTCAAGAGACGGCACCGCTGTGTGACCCGACATTCTGTGATCAAACGGAAGCACGGAAGGGTTGCCGGGTAAAAAGTTAGAGCGTTCTCTGTGGGACAAGGCAATCATCAAGGATCCTCATATATTTTGAGTTTTGTTAGGAGGACAGATATTGCATGATGTGGGGTGTAGATTTTCTAGCTATAGTAATTGTCTTGTATCTCTCCACAAGACCACGAGAGATACAGTCTTGACGCATTATGCTGTGCATGGCCAAACATCCATAATCAGGGAAGTAGTAATAATTGATTCACAGTGTTGCAGTGAACGATAGTTCAAGGGATTTAGTTGCAGAGCTCGAGTGATCCATTTATATGTGTCGCTAGTAATGCAATTTATATCTAAAATTTAGTAAAAATAAATATAATTCCCCATATATTTTTTTCAAAATACCAATGCACGAAACAAAATAAATTATTTTCTGTGAAGCTGCTTTGATCGGAAAAATCTTTCTTGAAATGGTGAAAACAGTTTTGAAAGTGAGCTATCACGAATGCTTACATTTATTTTCAAAAACATTTGCCAGATCATCCACTGCATCAATTTATATAATAATTAACGAAGTCTCAAATATTTAAGGGATCCTATATTCTTGACCTTTTTCAATTTTATGGGTATGTGAAGTAAACCCCGAGGAAAGGGTCAGTATACGAAAAGAGTGAGGGGGGGGGGGGGGGGGTGTTTGGTGTTTGGTATATAGTCTTCAAGCTTGCAGCAATGCCAAAATTTCTGAACAATTGAAGCCGTGCGGGAACGGATGTGAGTTACGTAGTCATGATGCACTTGGGAACTTCCTGAGAACTTTTTCTGTACCATTTTGTACTTCTTACGCAGTTTATATCTAGCTCCGGTTGGAATATAGAAAACGAAGTTTGAAGCATTTTCCCCTCATTTATTATGTTCCTTTTTCTGAACGTATAGTATACTTACAAAATTTTGCTATTTTCTTGATCAGCATGCCGTAAAAGAGATTCGCCGAACAATGAAAACCTGCTGTAACAATGATACTGAATTGGCATATCCCGAACATTATTCGTGATCCATAATAAAGCGGATCAAGGTACGAGCAGGTCTTCCCGTGAATCCCTTTGTGTAGTAAGGTGCATCCGCCGAAGACTTTACCCGCATTACGTTCGCGATATCCATATGAATCCATGAGGTATTTTTTGGAACAAATTCCTGCAGAAAACACGAAAAATTAAAAAAGATCATTAATTGGAGGATTAATCTCAGGATTATCAGTCTCAGGACAGAAATTCATGAAATAATTTTGTGATAGGAGAAAAGAGCTAGGTTTTTGTACAATATTTCAGGATTATGTGCTGAAAATTGAATCATAGCTTTCACGAAAAATTATTTGACAGCACCACTTTGCATGCATCAGACTTCTATACGTCACAAGTACTTTTTTTAAATTTCCGAGCCTGAATTTTATATTCAATATCCAGATTCATTATCTAGACAAGAGAAAAAGTCACCCTCAAGAAAGCTGCAGCGATATTGGCCATTCCACCAGCGCCCGGAGTTTCAAAATTCATCAAATCAGCCAAATGCCCACCTGAAAGAAAATGCATAGATCGTGTACTAATTTTTTCAACACCACCAGCTTCAACATTATGTATGAATATTGATAAAATCAGCATTGATTTCATTTTGGTTCCACAATGTCGATAACATGACCCAATTTCGTGATTTTCTTTTACGAAAATCACCTGAGCTTGAATCGTGAAGTCGTTATCGCTTGATCCGAACCGGTTTTTATCCTCGGAAGTATGCATCATATTCCAATTTCAGCTATAAGGAAACAACTCCTGAACCGAATTTGCTGACTCTCGGGAACCTCATTTTCTCAAGTACCCAGACTTTTCCCAAGTTTTCTTCTGAAAACATCTCATTCCTCTCGTAATTATAGTCCAGTGCTGTCCAATATCCGGCCCGCATATAAATTTAATGCACCCTGCATTCCCTGTTCTATAATTTTCCACACTATTGAAAAATTTTATACAGTTTGACAGATGCATTCGAGATTTTAAACTGGTGCTCAACCATTTCAAACATTGAATAAGGCAATTCTTATGATTCAATGGAGATAACTGAATTTAAATTTGAAAATTTCATTCAAAAGGGGAAAGTTCGGAGCTTTGAAAATTATTGTCTATTTATTGTGGCCCTCAAATTCTCAATGACTCTGCATCTCTTCGATGGGGATTTTGGACATTAGAAATACAGTATATCAATGTGACCCTAGGCCACATCTGAGTTGGGCAGCACTATTCTATCTTATCACGCCAGGCATCGCATCATTCTGTTTTCCCCTATATTGCGCTAATTTAAAATCACGGCCGTTTTCATGTATGCCATCGGCATATTTATATGGGTAAGGAAGTGGTTTCAACGCAAAACAAAGCCATGTTTTAGTTGCTAGTACACATTTCAAATTATTCGCAGAATGTGCACATTCGTTACCTTCTGTTCCTGCACTCCACTATAGTTCCAAATTACTTAGCACTAGAAGGCCCTGAGTTTCCAGATTTCGGAATCTCACCCATCACTTATGTATGGTGCGTGTTGATACTGTTGAATCATCAATGGTGCCACCGATCGAATCTAACCCCGGTGATGCACTTTTTCTCCCTCAGCATGTATAGTCCTTATATACTGCACCTCAGGCGCAAACGTCGGAAACCCAGGAAGTACTCAAACATTTTTGTTGATTCGGAGAAGCGGTACATTTAATTAAGACGCATCTGAACTGCGCCAGTGAAATCTGACAATAGCATGTTGCATAAATTAAATGCGACATACAATCCGCCTCTGAGCAAGTATAAGAGGTATTGTCACCTGGCCAAGAATGAATATTCATTAATGGATTTGATTTTATTGAAGAAAAGAAAAATTCTTATATTTACAGCCTGAAATTTTTGCTGAAACCCAGCAGCTGCAATTATGTACTTTTCTTTTTGAATGCCCCAAGTGGGACGACATTGTTTTTATTTCTGAACCTGTCTTATAGTGATTTTTATCAGAGCAAGAATGTGTGCTGATTTTATCAGCAAAGCGATTCGGTGGAAAAGTGATTTTGCGGGAATTCAGAGATCTCAAAAACTATGCATTGTATCAATATTTTTGTAAACACCACATTTGTAGGAAACTTCGCAATCTCAAATTTGTGAAGTTGCGCAATTCAATATCTAAAAAATTGAAAGAGATATTTGCTTCGGAAGTTTGAGTCACAAATTACGCAATTGTACAAATTATTCCTTGGAAAATGTCCTGGTTTCCAGGACTTGTTTTGTTGTTGAAAATGCCTATATGTTTCCATGCCTGTTATTCTGTGTATATAAGGTGTGTTGAATTGTGAATAAATTATCAGTCTCACTAAAATTGGCACAGTTGCCTGTTGTCTGATTTTCTCCCTTTGGCTTAAACTCAAAATTTAGCTGTGGAGCTGCTTACAGGCTCTTGCACTTTGGTTTACCTTAAATTCTGATAGTTTGTGGCATTTTCAATTAAATACCAACCAAAATTGGAAGACTAATTTTTCAGGCGGAAATGTGTTACAGATGAATAAATAAAGGAAGCCACTGTAAACACGAAGTACAATGAAATACAATAAAAGGAATCTTTCGCAGTTGGACTCACCCGCGACATCATTTCTGTAGTAATCCCATAATGGCATCCTCCACACTCTGTCTCCGGTTGAAATACTCGCGCGCAGCATTGCATTCCACTCTCTGGTGTGGGTAGCGAACGTTCCAGTTGCAGACGAAGCGAGTGCGCTTATGATACCACCTGTGGAAATGATTTTGTATGGGTGGGGAGAAAGAAAAAAAAATTGAGAAATTATATGTGAGTTGTCGGCATGTAACAGGTTGAAGTCGCGTAGTTGGTGCACTGAGATCTGTTGGTGTGAGCCCTAAAAACCCTTGCTTGGCGCCACCTGTATAAAAGCGAGTGCCAAAACTGACTTGGGCATCATTGCTATTTTTCTTGAGAAGAAGACGGGACAAGAAAAACTTAATGAACTAAACGCATTAGTTACAAGCCAAAAATTCAGAGTATTCATTTTCTTTTCTGAAGCTAAATCGAAACCCTCCATTACAGGAAGCTCACCTAATTCAGGAAGTCTAGATATTAAGTGGGATTCGCGACGACTCCGAAAATGTATAAAAGTATACAGTACCTTTAAATCCCATCTTAAGAGAAACGTGCGAAAAATATAAAAGAACAAGAAAGAACACGACCACGAGTCGGCACTACCGATTCCGCTCACCAGTGAGTGTCGCAAGGTCGACCAAGACCTTGGGGTTGAACTTCCCTGCGTACACTAAAGCGTCGGCAAGAACGAGCCTTCCTTCTGCATCCGTATTCACGATTTCAATGGTCTGACCATCCTTGGCCGTGACAACGTCCATGACTTTGGTAGCTGTCCCACCAATCATATTCTCGGTCAGTGGGACGAGACCAACCACATTGACGCGAAGCTTCAGTTTGGCGATGGCTTTGATGGTTCCAATAACCACTGCACCGCCGGCCATGTCGCCGCGCATCCACATCATACTGTGTCCCGGAGTCTTTAGTGACACGCCGCCGGAATCGTAAGTTATGCCTTTACCTGTGAAACAAATTTTATATTTTATCGGGAAAGGCGTTAAATCCATTTTGAACTAGCATATTAAACAAAAATGTTGCAATCATTCGGTGAATGTCGGCTTTATTTTGCATTTAAAATCACAGTGTATATATATACAAATGAGACGCACGGCAATTTTCTCAGTAATTCACGCGTTTCCTGAGCGTTTGAACAATACTAATAAAATACATAAGTGGAAGTTGAATATCGGGTGAGCTATACAAATTTCAATTTCCAAGTTATTTTATAGGGGAATATATATGACCATCACCTCTATTTTGTCAAGAATATTTTTGTGACGATTTTGAAAATGTGTTTTTCAACATGACTGTGTTTTAATGCCGTAATTGAATAGACTTTTATTTTGTTTATTTTTATGAACAATCTTAATAAACAATTTTAATAAACAGATTTAGGTTGATCTGTCCCTCAAAATGTGAAGAAGCGTCTTTTTTGTTTGCAAAATAAACTTTGTTTTTGACTGAATAGGAGATATATTCGTTCCGATTAGTGTATTTTTTGTCCACCGCATCCACTCTCACATATGAGCAAATGACCGACGAATTGTAGAAGTGGAATTGAATGCAATAATTTATTTCAGCTTGTGCTGGACGAAAAATCCGTCGCAATATTAAGTTCAAAGACTCAAATACCTAGTGTCCTTTCAAAAAACGTGCCCCGCCCAATTCTTTAGCTAAAAATCTGGCAAAAATATATTCCTGAAAAATGCGCGCAACTCCGTTTTTAGAGGATTTTTCGACATTTCGGGAATGAGAACAGTGGACGTCATTAATTCATACTCAAATGAAACGAGGATTCATCAATTGAATTGTATCTGCCTTTTTATGTCTTTATCTGACGTATTATACAAGTATAGCTGCTATACAAGATTTAAAACTACTGAATTGAACTTTCATTTGAGCTAGCATTTATATTTTTTATGCTGTCGCTCTTAAATTCGTAAAATTTTCACCAACTTAATTCAACTACATGAGGTGCATTGAAATTTCAGAAAATTATTTTGAAAAATCTTGACTTAAAATGCACGCGAAGATGACGCTAACCCCTATTTTCGGTTTTAGTTTCTGAGGGGGTGCGCTTATGGTACTGTATTGTACTTTTGCGTAAATGCGGAATTTACAATTTGAATCGAAGTTAAAAAGAGAACTCTTATAAAGTACTTACCAACGAGGACTATTGGAGGATTTTCTGACTCATCGCCCGTGTAAATCATCTCTAGAAACACGGGAGGTTGCGTTGGATTCCCTGCAGCGACGCTCAGGAAACTGCCCATTTTCTCCGCTTCTATCCAAGAACGATTGTAACAAGCAACCTGGACACCGAGGGGGTCGAGCATTTTCTTAGCTTCTTCGCCAATCGCTGTGGGGGTCATCAGGCTTGCAGGCATTTCCGTCNCATGAGGTGCATTGAAATTTCAGAAAATTATTTTGAAAAATCTTGACTTAAAATGCACGCGAAGATGACGCTAACCCCTATTTTCGGTTTTAGTTTCTGAGGGGGTGCGCTTATGGTACTGTATTGTACTTTTGCGTAAATGCGGAATTTACAATTTGAATCGAAGTTAAAAAGAGAACTCTTATAAAGTACTTACCAACGAGGACTATTGGAGGATTTTCTGACTCATCGCCCGTGTAAATCATCTCTAGAAACACGGGAGGTTGCGTTGGATTCCCTGCAGCGACGCTCAGGAAACTGCCCATTTTCTCCGCTTCTATCCAAGAACGATTGTAACAAGCAACCTGGACACCGAGGGGGTCGAGCATTTTCTTAGCTTCTTCGCCAATCGCTGTGGGGGTCATCAGGCTTGCAGGCATTTCCGTCAGGTAACGAGCAAAGTTTTGACGGAGTCGTCGCTGATCCGGGGCCAAGGTATTAACAAGAAGAACGGACGTTAAGCTAGTGCGTATAGGTGCAACCTTTGTTTTTCATGACATGAACTCAAAATCTCGGAGCATGCAGAAAATACGAATCGAACGTTAAAAAAAAACCTTCGGGGCTTCGTGACCGTTTTTGTGCTCGAGGACTACGACAAGAACATTTTTTATTTTTGCGGTCCAGCGGAAATTTCCTGCCGACTGTGCGCCTTTCCGCCGTTCACAGGTCTGAAGATGCAAATGTAGTAAACTGCCCAAGGGCAGTTTACTATGCGAAGTTCCGTACCAAACATTGCAGACACAGGCTCTATCGCTTAATTAATTTTCATTCGGACGAGCATGTATTTCTCCCAACTAGAGCTGGTCTGCAGATTGAAGAAAAGCTGCTGCTTTGTGATATAAAATTCCAGAATAGACTCCGAAAATTAAACTGAATTCAGCTTTTTAGCGCATCAGTAGAATGAAAAGACCGCCAACGAAAAATATTGCGGATGCGCGTGTTTTATGCATCTTCTATAAGAAAAGTTGACTCACGCATCAAGATTTAAAGGCGACACTTCTGGTTTACCAGTCTTGGATTTCTTGAACTCGTTGAAAACCCACGTCACCAGATAAATACTCTCTGCAGCTGCTTCGGGATCGCCCATGGTATCCAAGTCAATATGGCTGAAAGATCGGCTTCCAGCATCCCATAACGACTTGAAAGCATCTTTAGGGTGAAGAACCTCGCGCAAGCCAAGTGTCAAATGCTTCGTGAACACATATCAAACTCTCGAAATTTGACTAAACTAGTACAATATTCGCAAAGCATCATTAAAAAAATCAGTATGTCCTTCATGTGCTAAATAAACTTTCGGTTAAATTTGCATTCCTTCGATTTTCAATAATCAGAACTTCCGAAAATTTTGGCAAAGCAATCCCACGAGATTCTATTTCTTGGACGTAAATTATCTTGCTGATGGTCAGGCATGAATTCGGAAGCATGCTCAATCATCTCATATTTCCATTTCACAAGGGTACCTAAATCTAATTCGATAAGGACATTATGTTTATCACCACGACGACCCTAGCTCTGATCGAACCACTATGGCTAATAATTTAAAATACATAGAAATTCCTCATGAGCTTTAATACGGGGTGTGATGAGTCAATACTCATCTTTTAAAATACTGTGTATGGAATTGAACTTACTTGCGATTAATTTTCGAACTGCTTCTCTCTGAGGATCTATCTGCTCTTCTTCATCGATTGTTCGGTTTTGTTCGCCTATATTCGCCAAAACTATCGCATCATATCCCTCCAGAAAATTCCACAACACCCGCGTACCACCCGATTTGATTGTGGTTGCTTGTGAACTATTGAACAAATATATCCATGAAGTAATGCAAGAAACCTTCCACCAAGATGGAAAAAATGGCGTAAACTCACAGGTGCAAATACTGCGATATTTTCGACTCCTTCTCAACATCCAATGTCGATGCTGCTTGGGTTAAAGTGAAGTTGCCGTCCGACGAATAGAACCCGAGAATAGCTCCACGCAGGACTAATTCATTGCTTCTACATGCAGAAAGAAAAATAAAAGATGCGTCGGACTATTATCATGGTGACGGCAATATGTTGCATCTTGAGTCAGCAGATAGCGCATTTGGACTGATACGGTTAGACCTTGTTGTTTTCCAACCCCGAAACTAAACACTGAAGTTGAAATATTGATACACAGTACTCTGCAAGGAGGCATAGCAATTCGGTTTAACCTAAAACCTCCGTTGCTTTGTACACCCAATTGGGATAGCTGTATTGTACATGGAAAATACGAAATTCACAGTTTTGAACAAACCAAGACTATGAGTGCTAAAGTCAGTATACTCACCCATCCGTGGATGAAGCGTCATCATTGTGATAGGAACTCTTCGCGGCATCTTCAGCGAAGTCAGACTCACTCGGTGCCGAACACGACTTACACGTAACAGAATTAATTAAAGCAATGCAGAGCAAAGCAATCACAGATGGACCCATAACGCTGTGACAAAACGGGCCTTGAAAAAAGCATAGATGACTTATCAACAAGCACATAATAGCGACACAAACCGATATCAAAGATCACTCAGGGAAGACTACAGTCGAAGAGGTCAGTGGTCTTTTATACCGTTCATCGGTCAAATATTCATCAGCTCCATGATAAGCGTTCTACAAAAATCTCATGATTTATGCGCTCTTGGAAAATAATTCAGACAAAAGATCCGCTCATCCGAGATCTTGTCCGAGGGATTCGGGAATTTTTCAAAAGATGATTCGTAAGCCCTAATATTTGGGGCACAGTTTCGATTACGGCCAAGAAATATTCAGTTCTAGAGACGGCACCGCTGTGTGACCCGACATTCTGTGATCAAACGGAAGCACGGAAGGGTTGCCGGGTAAAAAGTTAGAGCGTCCTCTGTGGAACAAGGCAATCATCGAGGATCCTCATATATTTTGAGTTTTGTTAGGAGGACAGATATTGCATGATGTGGGGTGTAGATTTTCTAGCTATAGTAATTGTCTTGTATCGCACCACAAGACCACGACAGATACATTCTTGACGCATCATGCTGTGCATGGCCGAACATCCATAATCAGGGAAGTAGTAATAATTGATTTACAGTGTTGCAGTGAACGATAGTTCAAGGGATTTAGTTGCAGAGCTCGAGTGATCCATTTATATGTGTCGCTAGTAATGCAATTTATATCTAAAATTTAGTAAAAATAAATGTAATTCCCATATATTTTTCGAAATTTCGATACTCGAAATGGTGAAAACAGTTTTGAAAGTGAGTTATCGCGAATGCTTGCATTTTTTAAATGAAATCGGCCAGATCATTCACTGCATTAATTTATATATCAATTATTAAGTCTTAATTACATAGGGGATCCTATTCGTGACTTGTTTCAGTTCAATTTTATGGAGATGTGAAGTTAACCCCGAGGAATGTGTCAGTATACGAGAGGGGGTTGGGGTGTTTAAACTATTCTTCTCATGAACAGTTGTAATCATCATGCTTACTCTATCCGCGGTTATATTCACAGGAAACCAAGTTCGCCATGCGGAAAGTTTTGTTGCGAAGGAGTGGCTCATTTAGAAAAAATGGAAGACATTTGCGACAATAAAAGAATTTCTTGGATGAAGGATATTCAATTAAACGAGTGAAGTATGCAAGTATCACGGTACCATAATACTTGAAAAATGCATATTGTACGTTATAATTTGGTCAAAAATTGGACAAGGACTTGATGAACTTTTTTGGAAGAGAACTTTTGGGCTATATGTATGCATGGTGAGTACAAAGCACGGAGAGTGAAGTATAAATCCGAAGAGACTATCTCATCATGATCTGCTGAAATCAGAGACATTCTCCGGGAAAACTTTTTTACCTTTCACGGCAGATCTTTTTTACCACTCCCCTGAAATTCCTTCACAGCGACATTTTCAAAATGATGAAATACCATATCAGGAATCATTTTATATTCACCAGAATATCATTGTCTATCGAACCTTTTCAACGTTCTCTTAGCCTCAGACACCTTTTTAAATTCCAATTTCTCTCAGCCCCCGACTAAGCTATTAAATTGATTTAATCTAGGAGTAGAATCATTCTTTTCTATAGGTACAAGAACACTTTCTGCTTTGTATGCATATTACACGTCTTAGTATTCAAATTCCCGAACTTTTTTCGCTGAAGTCTCCGCGGAGCCCTGGGGGGAAGTACTTACGGAGCCCTCATGGGACTCCGCGGAACATACACTTAGAACCTCTATTCTAGAGATCCCAGAATAGAAAATTTTTAAGAATTTCTAGGAACTGTGAGGAAAGTCAAGAGATTCCTGGGAGTCGTAAGTCTCGTAACCTCAGCACGGCAACGCAGAGTCTTCCCATGAAGGGATTCGTTGGGCCGGAAATTGGCTTAGATGAAAATTATCTTCGGACGTTATGGACTGGCATGCTAATGATGCACAGGCGACTGGAACGTCACCACTCGACATCTCCGCTACGGAACCAGCTCCACGCCGTGGAGCAATTCCTGGCTGAATCTTCCGGGTGGCGGAACTTCGATCATCAAGATCATTGGGCGGTCGCGGAGGGCCGAGAACATAGACCTGACGAGACGGACGACGAAATCCGGCCTGGGCGGGTAGCTCTCGCATGACGAGGAATTAGTATTCGGGCAACGTGCCCCTTTTGATCTTCTTTTCTCTCGACTTCCCTCCGCAGTATGTGAGAAAGAGGGGGGGGGTGTAATTCCTGGGAAATCCCTGCTGCTCGTCCTGTTCCTCCAGAATAACGGCCGGTGGACGTCAGGTCACCGCGAAGCGCCGGGCAAATACCGAGTCCTCGGCGGAAGTTTGCTAATCGCGCGCGGCCCGTTGCGTGCGTTGGCCCTTATTATAAGCGTCCCGGAAACGCGGAATTCACGACTCAATTTCCTTTTTTTTTTATACCTCGGCCACGGAAACAATGCAATTCTCTCTCGTGTCCAGCCCCGAATGAAACCTGGGTTGACCCTGTTGACGGAATCGCATTACGGCGCCGTGAAGCATCGACATCTGATTGAAACGACCGCGCGGAAGAAATCTCGGTCTCGTCCAGGTCAATGGTTCCATTCCGCAAAATTGAAAGCTACTGTCATTGCTGGACGCGACAAATCTGCCCGGTCACGCTCGCGTGGCCCGTGATCAAAATTTCGAAAGGTTACCCTTTCCTAGCTCGATTTTCCTGGTTCTTCTGCGGAAATAATGGGACACGGAAAAACGAGGGGAAAAAAAGCCAAGACAAGACTGGGACCGGGAATTCCTCTTGGGACCTGATTTCGCTTCCTTCAACAATTTTTTTTTTCGTTTCCCCCAGCTACTAACATCGTGATGCCGTTGCCGTTCTACGCGTAATGAGGGACGGTGGCCCATATAAAATTTATGACGGCTCCCATCTTCATAATTGTAAATTGGAATCTGTCTCTCTGCTTAGCTGTCTCCGAGCTGCGAGAAAACATTGCTTTCTGGGGACAAGACATAAAAGCGTTCATGACAATAAAAATGAACAAACTTCTACAATTTTTTGTTGCGGCCAATTGATATTCTTATGAAAACCCTTCTCTATTCTTTAGGTGGCTTTAATAAAGCAATGTAAATACAACGATGCATGCATGAATTGTATGATACTGTACTCGTATTCTCTTGATCAAACAAAGGGCGTAAAAATATATAGGTGTGAGGTTGGTGGGAAATATTCAAGAAAAAAATATTTCCTGTTGGACAGTATTTGTCCAGAAAGGCTGGGCCTGACCAACTTTGTTGAGGGGATAATTATTAAAATAAAAGATAAGAGTAAATGAACCTCAGAGTGGCGAGCAATTACAAGATACCTCGACTCTTAGCTTCACCAAGAGGAGTTTCTTGTCTATCTTCACACAGGTCATCACTGGTTCAAATTCACAGCAAATAACTGAGATAGGCAGGAAGTTTCTCGCTGACCACATGACGATAGACTCAATTATTTTGCACTTCACGCACAGATGTTTTTATGGTGTACTATAGAAGCCTCATCAACTGGTCCCTCTTGATTCCAAGAAACTTGTCCCATCAAAGATGAGTTATGTCCTGCAGACGCGTTACATGTACGACAGTTACTTAGGTGCATGGTGCACTGACGGTTTATTGCGCTGATGATGCAACAATGGTTCCACAACACGTCAAGACAAGACAATTTGCTTCAGTATGGTGCAGTTGGTTGAACCGTTGGTGGGAATATGAGGACGCTGGCATTCAAAAGATTCGTATTTGTTCAAAAACAATTTGTATACGACATCGGATCTTTGGATCACCATGCTAAAAAAGTTACGCCTTTGACCGGATGATGAATTATAATGTTTATTTGAACAATTACTCAATGATGAATAATTCGCAAGACTTTTTTGAATGCGATGTTATCAACTTCTCGCAAATATGAAAGAGATTTACACGATTACCAGACACACACATGAACTTCTCCAGTCAACGAAACTTAATTCATACGTCTGTGCTATCCAGTTTTCTGCTTTTCATCTCGTAAAATATATATACAAGCATATGCACATTATATATCTTTTTTACAGTATATATGGTGCATATAGCAAGTTGACATGGTTTTTTAATTAGATTTTCATATTAAATTTGAGTCGATCTGAAAATTAGGGTGACATATTTGTTCTCTCTGATTCGCTTGAGGTTTAGAGAGATTAATTGAATGCAAGTATGATCGCAGATTCAAAAATTGAGATTTTACCATATTTTGTGATTTTCTGGGAGGTGCTAAGAGAGGTGATAAGACCTTGTTTCCCATCGAATCCGCAAGCTCAGAAAGGTTCGATAGTGGGTTTCAACTACAAATTAAATAAGCCTGAGGAATATGAGAAAAATTCGGCAAAGAAATTCATTTCGTTTTCATCCGTCTCGTGCGGTATCCGCGACAACAATAACACTTCCTGCGCATATCAGCAGATCAAAGGCCAAGCCCCCGAATCCATTTCAGCTCTTTCATTTCCGAAAAAGAGATGCACCGTAAGGAACCCGGCTGCAAAAAGGCGCTAAGAGCCGGCAAGCTGACAAAAAACTTCCACCCCAGCAAAAAAGCACACTCGTTTCCTCCATTCGAATCGAAAAAAATCGAAACTGAAATACATTAGCCTCCGTCAGCATTCGAGCTCGTAATAATGCTTCACCCGTGCAATTTCTTTAAAAATATATGAAAACACAAACCGCTGCATTCGAACTTAAACGTCGAGGGAGCCACGCTCACATTCGCACGGGGCATTAAATATTCAGTCTTTGACTAGAGATTCCCAATGAATGCGAACAGCCGATCTTACGCACACCCAGCGAAGACATGTCCGTTTGATTAGAAAACAGACCTGGGTTAAAATGGTAGGGGAAGACTTACAATTAATACTGCTACGCGGTCCTCGTCCCCCGCGGCTCATCAAAAATCCATCTTCACAAAACCCCGGATTTTCCCGGTCTCGGCGAGGAAACGCATGCAAACACTGCCTACCGTGTACAAGATACATCGTGAATGAAGTCAAAGCGAGAAAAGTACCTCAGTTTCATGCATGATTGCTTTTGTGTTCGCCATTCACTCAGAGGGCTGCTGAGGCCGAGCCACGAGGTTAATTGGGACATGGAGTGAGTCCGTCGTTTGAAAAAACCATTAAATATCACACGATCGCCGTCGATAAAACTTCTCCGTTTCACGGCAGGACTTGAACAACTTAGTCATTCTTCACATTGAGCACATGAACTTTGCAAATAGGTTCTATGATTTTCTTTGTGGATCCTTGTAGTTGCGCTCTCCGGCTCGGAATTATTCGAAAATGGTGACTACATCGGGTAATTGCTGCAGTATAGCGTATTGGAACGTGCACAGAGTTACCATTGGAGGCTTAGTCTTCAGGTATCTTGAATGAAAGCGCAGGACATAGAATTTTTGAAAAGAAAACTTGTTTTTGATTGGATAAGGGGTTCCCACGAAGTGATTTTTAGGGATGAAAAATTCTGAAAATGAAAATAAGTCATGGACCTGAAGGAGATGGTTTTTTTTTCAAGCTCCACTGGCGGACTTTACAAGGCACTGTTATTGTAGACTAACCTTCAATGGTAACTCTGTCTAAAAATTATGCAACTGAATGATTCATTAGATTTGATCGGATCCGATTTTCGAACGATACTGCACACATTAGGGGTTCTTACGCTCAAAGCTCTATCCTAACCTTCATACGAATATAATTCAATCGATGAAATGAAAAATCATGAGAAGCACAGCAGGACGCTCATGGGTGCCAAAAATTAGGAATGAAGATAGGTTTCTGTAGATCTTAAAGCGCTAATGCGATGAACGTCGTAAATGAGCAGAGGATGCTCCAGGGCTCCATGGAAATGCCTCGGTTACCTACGAAAACATGGATTTAAAAAACAGCATTATAAAGAAGTGTCCAATCAAAATTTTAATAAGATGCTGATAACGCAGTGGCCGTGTTTCCCCGAAAATCTAATAGACATCATGAATGGCTTTGACCCAATATAAGAAAAGAATTTACATTCATATAAAGCAATTAGGTTAAAAAACAGGATGCGACTTTGTAGTGAAAGTGTGTATTTTTATAAATATCCACGGTAGATCAGCAGCAAAATGTTCAAAAAAAGTTAGAGGATTGCTGAAGACATCGGGATTTTCTTTGTCATCTACTTTTGACTTTTATAAAGATAGCAATCCATGAAAAGGCGTCACTTCGCACAAAAGTGATCAGGGCTCATTTAAAGTAGAGCTTATATGTTTAAGATGTTTTCAGTAAATTATTCTTGGACATATTCCATGACACTAACAATACAGTAATTTAGTTTCAGGGAAACACAGCGTGCGTCATTAAAATCGAAGTGCGTAGATAATTGAAGTTATTCTGAATTAAAATGTGAACGCATTCAATTGATGTTCCTGAAGAACATCATTTTTATTGGATACATGACTTAACTCTGAAATACTGTAGTATTTTGGCGATGATGGGTATGCGTCACGCCGTATTCTAAATACTGTAACATGAATTCAACCTCATTCTTAATTTTTTTCTCTCGAGAATTACCTGGGTAGGAATGTCGTGGGTACTGTGGGTTGGAAAAGACATTGGCTTCGCCGTCACCGACATCGTCGGGGTCATAAGCGTATGACGACGAGGAACTTTTCCCACTTTTCTCTTGCTGAGTGCCCTGGTCAACCTCGTTGCCGGTGGGGTAATTTTTCCGGCGTTGGGACCGGTCTCCTTTCCAGTTTTCCTGATCTGAAACACAAGGCGGGCCCATCAAGATTGAATCGCGACGAGAACCCAGGGCCCCGAGGAAATACGCCACAACCCAGTCGTGCAATCCCTAACGAAAACTGAAGCTTTGCGGCTTGGGTATTATTTTTAAGTGCCACAGCTTTAGAATGTCACGTTATTAGCAACATTGTCGAGTGCATCATCGGAGCCATTTGGACATTCTTCCTAGTTTGAATACTTCAACTTGAGTTTAACCTCGATTATTCGGAATGATTATCAAATGCCTTGGGCTGGATAATTAATTATTACAGAAGAATGGAAAATTTTTCTCACGGATAACCTGACGAGTGCTCCCGATTATGCCCA